TCTATTTTTTATTAAATTTATTAGGGTGAAATTAGTTAATAAAATTATATAGGTTTCAAGTGTACAATTCAATAATACATCATACGTATACTGCATTGTGTGTTAATTTTAGGGAGGAAAACGTAACTATCTTAACTACAAATCAAGAACTTATAAATGATAAAAATTGTATTTACAAAAAATCTACAGTCAACTACTTAACAGCAAAATATAGTATGCCTTACCTGCTAAGATGAGAAACAAGGCAAGGATGTGTGCTGTGACTTGTCATATTCAACATCATACTAGAGGTCCTAGCCAGTGTAATGAGACAAGAAAACAAAAGGCAAACAGATGGAAAATATATTATATAAAACTGTCTCTATTGACGGACAAGACTGTCTACACAGAAAATCCCAATGAGTCTACGAAGCAACCAGAACTAATAAGTGAATTTAATAAGGCTGATGATTCATCAATACAAAATATTAAATCACCAATGTAAGCAACTGGTAATTGAAATTTTTTTAAATTACCATTTATAATAGTAGCAAATAACCTGAAATATTAGGATACTGCTATAACAAAATATGTGCAAAATTTTTATGCTGAAAACTTCGAAACATTAATGAGGAAAATCAGAGACCTAAATAAAGATACTTTACTAATGGATTAGAAAACAATATTAAGATGTCAATTCTCTCCAAGTTTATCTATAACTGTAAAGCTTGCCCAATCAAAATCCCACAATGTTTTTCATAGATAGACAAGCTGATTAAAAATTTACATGGAAAGAAAAGGAGCTAGGATACCCAAAATAATTTTGAAAAACAACAACAAAGTAGGAAGACTCAGACTTTCTAATTTCAAGACACACTATCAAGCTACACTAATGAAGACAATGTGGTTTTAGCCAAAGGAGAAAGGCATTGTAACAAAATTGAGAATCCAGAAATAGATCCACACATACATAGTTAATTTTTGACACAGAGAACAAGAGAAAACAGGCAAATAGGAGAACTACAAAAACAACCAGAAAACAATTAACAGAACAGCAATAAATACATATCTATCATTAATTTTTTCATTGTAAATGAACAAAATTCTCCAAATGATAGACATAGGGTGGCTAAATAAATAAAAACCTGACCCGTCTACGTGCTGCCTACAAGAGACTCACTTCAGATCTAAAGAAACACACACTCTGAAAGTGAAAAGATAAAAAAAGATATTCCATACAAATGTAAACAAGAAAGCTGGGATAGCAATATTTATATCAGACAAAACAGACTTTAAAAAATATTGTAACAAAAGACAAAGAAGGGTATTACATAATGATAACGTGGTCAATCCAATAACATTTATAAATATTTATGCATCCAACACAGGAGCACCTAAATATATAAATATAAAAAGCAAATACTGACAGATGCAAAGAGAGAAATTAACTACGATATGATCCAAGAATCCCATTTGGGGTACATAGCTGAAGGAAATTCAATCACTATCTCAAAGAGACATCTGCATCTCATGTTCATAGCAACATTATTCACAAAAGCCAAGACACAAAAACAACCTCGTGCCCATCAAAAAATGACTGGATAAAGAAAATGTAATATGTAGATATGTACATTTCTATGTAAGTAGATAAATAGATTGATAGAAAAATATTATTCAGCCATATAAAAACAGCATGAATGGACCTTGAGGGCATTATGCTAAGTGAAATAAGTCAGACGGAAAAAGACAAACACTGTATAATATCTCTTAGAGGTGGAATCTAAAAAAATCCAAACTCATAGAAATAGAATGTAGAGTTGCCAGAAACTGGAAAATAGGGGTAACGGGAAGGATATTGGTCAAAGGGTAAAAACTTCTAGTTAAAAGATAAATAAGTTCTCGAGATCTACTGTACAGCCTGGTGACTAATCATATACTTGAAAGTTAAGAGAATAGATTTTAAACATCATTACAACGACAAAAAATAAGGTAATTTTGTGAGGGAATGGAGGTGTAATTAACCTTATCCTGGTAATTATTTTGCAATGTATAGTGTATCAAATCATCACACTGTACACCTTAAAATTACATGTTATATGTCAATAATATCTCAAAAAAGCTAGAAAAAAATGCAGAAGCAAAAAAAAAAAAAAAAAAGATGAAAGATTTGAAGAGACACTTCCCTAAAGAAATACATGGATAGTCAAAAAAGGAAAATGCAGCTATCAATGATATATCACTAAGTACCTATCAGAATAGCTAAAATAAAAAAAAATTAAAAAATGACAAATGCTGACCAAGATGTGGAACAACGGGAACCGTCAAACATCTTCGGTAAGGAAAGCAAAATGAAACAGTTATCTCAGAAAATAGTATGGTAATTTCTTATAAAGTTAAACATTTGCCACATGATCCAGGAATATCACTCCTACACATTTAACCAGAAGAAATGAAACATGTCTACACAAAGACCTGTATGAACATACAAAAAAAACTGTACAAGAATGTTTATAGCAGCTTCATTCCTAAATGAAAAAAACTGGGGAAAAAAACCTAAGTGATAGACTGATAAATAAACTATGATAATATTCATACTACAAACTAGTACTCAGCAATAAAAACAAAACAAAGCACTGATAAATACATCAACGTGGATGAGTCAAAAAAGCATTAAGAAACCAGAAACAAATTCTACATACAGTAGGATTCCATTTATATAACATTCCAGAAAGGACAAAGCTATAGGGACAGAACAGATCAGGGGTTGCCAGGACCTATGGGTGAGGGGAGGGGAAAAAGGGAGAAGGCATAAAGAAACTTTTTGAAATGGAGAAGTCCTTTGCCTGGATTGTGGTGGTTCCAGGACTCTACGCATTTGTCAGAGTTTATATTTATAAGTTAAAAGTGCTTTTTAACTTGTAAAACATATCTCAGTAAACCTAAATTTTAAAAGACGGAGGACATGTCCTTTTGAAAATTATGCATCAAATTAAATGAGGTACATTGAACTTACTGGGTATGAGGGTGGGGGAGAGACAGTGAGGAAACCAAAAATCCTTAGAAATATTGAAATCGAAAAAAGAATTATTAGTAGTAAAGAAGAAGAAACATATACTGATACAAAGAGTTGATCTAAAGAGAGTTGCCATTATTTGGACAGAAAATAACAAAATTTGATGAGCTCTCAAGAAAGACCAGAAGTCACAAGGAACAGGTTGATAAAGGAGCACCATAATTACCAGCTAAAATTCGGAAACGTACCCTAAACACTCCCCTTCCAATTTACTAATGGAAAAGGTCTCACCCACCCCAATGTGTCCCTACTCCAACTTCTACTATGAAGAGAAAGATGATAAATTTTCAGATAGCTTCTTTATTAAAAACAAATCTTACATCTACAGCTAGGGGCACAAGATGAAATGCCTCTTACTAGGCACATTCATATTTGTCCATTTAAGCTCCAGACCAGCTAAACTGGTAACCATCTTTCTTCCTTTTTTTACTGAAAAACAAAACAAAAAAACGGTGCTGTCCCCTCTGGTGACTTTCTATAGTTTCTTTTTATCTGGTATTAAGATGATTAAAATAAAAAACAAAAAGCTCTCAAGTTTTGAGTTGATCACTCCAATAAGATACATTTCTCAATTAACAAACGTTAAAAGGTAAATTGTAACTTTCATCGCTTTTGTTTCTTTTATGTTTATTCCATTTGGCTTATACGGTTGCTAAGAAACCAGTTCATAATAAGATTTCCCAGCCCACAGAACAACCTCCTAGCCTGCCTGGAGGATACCAAACATTATAACCAGAGCAATTCTCTAGCACATAATTTACGGGCTAGCCAGCGCCACACAGGTGCACTCTCCCTGGCATTCCCCCTGCTCCATTTATCTAACAGGTACAGTACAGCTAATGCAACAGAAATTGTAGCAGAGGGCAAAAGAGATGATTTTAAGTGTAGCGCTCTCCGATGGCACAAAATAAAGCGAAATTATTGTCAGTCCGTGTCACTCCACCCAACTAAATATTCTGGGTATTTCGCCTTAAACTGTGGGGTGAAATGTTAGCCCACCCCAATTACTCCACCACGCAACATACAAACTATTTCCAAAAGTCATCATCCAACTACCTCTCTGATAAATATTTGGAAAAGGCGGCATCTGCCCAGTTCGGAGCGAAAGGGAAGGAAAAGAGTCGGAATTCTTAAGGGGCGGCTGAGTCACCTACAGCTGTGGCCAGAACTTTACCCTCCAGGAAATCAGGCTCTGCCCCAACTCTCATCAGGGAAACAAGTGAGAGTAGCAGCAACAGTAGTATTATCCTACCAGAAAAACACTCGGCGAGCTTTTAAAAGAGCTGTCATTCCTTAAAGTGAAGCCAATATCGGTTCCCCGTCCAAAGCTTTCCTCCGCAGCACACAACACGGGCAGATGGAAGAAATATCTTTATTGTGCGGTATGCGGGCGCACTTACGGGGGTAAAGGATGCCTCGCCACTTGGAAAGTTACTGCCTCCTGTCTTAACCCCGAAATGTCACTTTTATCTCAACATGTGACCCAAAGTAACCATAAGGAAATGTGGCTGACAAGCACAGCAGTTTCTGCCCGGATGTACTTGGCAAAGTAGAAGCAGAAACATATACCGGGCGCAATCGTGAAAACTTTACAAGAATCAGTCTCCGCTCGGTGGGACTTTCCGTGACACAATAATCACGTGTACTTGTGCGTAAACTTTCGAAAATATTCGATTCTGGAACGTGGATGGGGGTGAAACCTGCTGGGGCCGAAACTCGCCAGCGAGAGCAAGTGCAGGTGGGCATTCGCTGCAAAAGGAGCGAGGCTGGGTTCCAGCTGGAGGCGGGTCACGCCCCCTGACTCCGGCCCCGGCGACCTCGGGGGGTGAGGCGGGACGCTCTCCCTGCTCGCGTGGGGCGCTGCGAGCGCGCGCCCAGGCCCCTCCGGGCGTGGCGCCCGCCTCGCGCGGCCCCGGTACCCAGGCCCGGAAGGCGAGCGTCGATTTACCTGCTCCCTGCTCCCGCTCACCGTCGCCGCCGCCGCCGCCGCGCTGCTCACCCACGCTACTAGGTGAGCCACCCCCAGCACACAGAAGGACCCACACGTATACACCCAGGGCACGACCCCAGACCCGCGAAGTGGGAAACCGCGGCCCCAGTAACACAAGTAGGGGTAGCCCACACACTACCCGGCTTCGGAACCCTCTGCCCCCGGAAGTTGATTTCCACCGAAGGCCCGCCCAACGCTGCGCCAGTCACTCAACGCAAACACGCATGTCACGTGGCCCCAGGCTGAGGCCAGAGCTGAGGTCCCCATCCTCAGAGCCAGGGTACCCTTGGTGTGAGTGGTCCGGTCAGGGTTTCCCCTGAAAGGGAATGACTCAGAAGCTACCTCTTGTTAGTTACAGCTTGAGTGACAAGTCCAGTTCCTATGACTAATTCATGCAAATAAAACTATTCCCAAAATGACACTTCCATCTGGGACTCTGTAGGATTGTTTTTAAGAAGAGCTGGGCCTAAAGTCTTCACCACTTCCAAGCGGAGTTCAGTAAAAATTGAAGGTGAGCTAAATGCCTGACTAGTAAATGCTCAAGAAACAGTTGACTAGCCAGCTAGTCTATCTCATCTTTGCATATCTGAACTCAGAACCACGGTAATACACCAAGGCCGAAAGCCTCGCCAGACCACTGCTATATGACTTCAAAGAACACTGCTCTAGATTTACTGCTTATCTTCAACTCCAGAGCATAGCAATTTATACATGTCATCTCTGTTTCAAAGACAGTTTATTTTCAGCTGTCAAGCCACCCTCTTTTTCCCAAGACTTTAAGCAAATAGTTTCTGCAGGAGAAAAAGAAAAAAGAATGACATAACTGATAAAGTTTAATTCGAAAGAAAGCATTTTTTTTTTTTTTGGTCCATTTCAGACTGTCAACAGCTATTAGAAACAGTCAACTAGTAAGACACTTGTTAAAAATTTTTCCTTTTTTTACATGGAAGGAATCTGGAGAACATTTATTTAACAATTTTTAAATGAGTGTATACTATATGCCCAGCACTGGGCCAAGTTGTAACAATCTAAGAGTGAACAAGTTACATTCAAGATCTCTGCCTTCTAGAGTTTACAGTCTAGTGAGAAAGACAAAGAATTTGTGAACTTTGAGCATAAGGCTCTAGAATATTCACATTCATTGATTAACAAGCATTCTTTAATATTTTGGGCAACATTATTTTCTCATCTTTCCATTGAACTAAATTGGTTTAAACCTGTAATAGTCTCTGATTTGTACAGGAGGTGGCAAATGTCAGGATTGCTGGTGAGTAAAGCTAGTGAGTAAAGCTTCATCTGGGTTTGCAGCAGCTCCCCAGCACTAGCATCACTGCCTCAGCTCCACTTGAGATCATCAAGCATTAGAGCCTCATAAGAGCACTGGTCCCTGGTGCCAATAAGTTTGGGGACCACTGATGTGTTGTACTTTGAAAGTTGCTAAAGGAGTAGATCTTAAAAGTTAGAACTGACCCCAATGATAACAGAAGAAATGAAATAATAAAAATTAGAACAGAAATAAATGAAACAGAGAACAGAAAAACAAGAGGAAAGATTAAGTAAGTAAGAGTCGGTTCTTTGAAAAGACGAACAAAATTGACAAATCCTTAGACTAAACAAGAAAAAGTAAAAGGGCCTAAATCAACAAAATTATAAAGAAAAGTGGAGATATTACAAATGATTCCACATAAATTCAAAAGGATCATAAAAAGGTTACTATGAACAACTATATACCAACAAACCAGACAACCTAGAAGAAATGGAAAAATTCTTAGGAACATACAACTTAACAAGATTGAATCAGGAAGAAATAGAAAATCTGAATAGACACATTACTAGAAAGAAGAATTGAATCGGTAATCAAACATCTTCCAACGAATTAAAGTCAAAGACCGTATAGTCTTACTGGCGAATTTTACCAAACATTTAGAGAAGTATTAACACCAGTCTTTCTCAAATTCTTTGAAAAAATAAAAGAGGAGGGAACACTCCCAAACTCATTTTATGCAGCCAGCATTATCCTGATACCAAAACCAGGAAAAGATACTACTATACAGGAAAACAACAGGCCTGACAGATATAGATACAAAAATTCTCAATAAAATACTAGCTAACCAAATTCAGCAGTACATTATAAGGATTATTCATCACGATCAAGTGGGATTTACCCTTGGGATGGACAGATGATTTAGCACATGCAAATCAATCGGTGTAATATACCACATTAATAGAATGAAAGGAGAGAGTCATATGATCATCTCAAGAGACAAAGAAAAAACATGTTTGATAAAATTTAACATCCTTTCATGATAAAAACTCTTAAAAAATTAGGCATCGAAAGAACATATCTCAACATAATAAAGGCCATATATGACAAAGCCACAACTAACAACATATTTACAGGTGAAATGTTGAAAGATTTTCCTCTAAGATCAAGAACAAGACAGGAGTGCTCACTCTTACTACTCCTACTCAACATAGTACGGGAAATCCTACCTAGAGCATCAGGCAAGATAAAGAAATAAAAGGTGTCGCAATTGGAAAGGAAGAAGTAAAATTGTCTCTATTTACAGCTGACATGATTCTTTACATAGAAAACCCTAAAGACAACCAAAACATTACTAGATCTAGTCAACAAATTCGGTTAACTTGCAGGTTATTAAGTTAACATACAAAAAATAGCAGAGTTTCTATACATTAATAAATTTTCTGAAAAAGAAAATAAATCAATCCCATTTATAATAAAATGAAAAACAATAAAATACTTAGGAATAATTTTAAGGAGGTGAAATATCTCGACTCTGAAAAGACACTGATGTAAGAAATAGAGGAAGACACAAATAAATGGAAAGGTATCCTGTGTTCAAAGATTGGAAGAATTAATAGTGCCAAAATGTCAGTACTAACAAAAGCCATCTATAGATTCAGTGCAATCTCTATCAAGATTCCAATGGCATTTTTTACCAAAGTAGAAAAAAATTCTTAAAAGTCATATAGAACCACAAAAGACCTCAAATAACTAAAGAAATTCTGAGAAAGAAGATCAAAGCAGGAGGCATCATACTTCCTGATTTCAAGCTATTCTATAAAGTTATAGTCATTAAAACAGAATGATACTGGCATAAAAACAAATAGACTAATGGAACAGAATAGAGAACCCAGAAATAAACAGAAGCATACATGGTGAACTAATAGTTGTCAAGGGAGCCAAGAATACTCAGTAGAGAAAAGACAATCTCTTCAATAAATGGTGCTGGGATAATTGGATATTCACATGCAAAATAATGACACTAGATCCGTATTTTATACTGCCCATAAAAAATTATCTCAAAATGGATTAATGACTTAAATGGAAGACCTTAAACTATTAAACTCCTAGGGGGAAAATAACCTTGGAACAAAGCTCCTTGACATGAGTCTCAGTGATGATTTTTTGGATATGACCTAAAGCGCAAGCAAGGAAATCAAAAATAAACAAGTGAGACTACTTCAAACTAAAAAGTGTGTACACAGGAAAAGAAACCATCAACTAAGTGAAAAGACACCCTATAAGAACTGGAAAAAAATATTTGCAAACCATATACCTGATAAGGTGTTAATATCCAATATATATAAAGAACTCATACAAATTAATAGCAAAAAACAAATAAATAAATTTTAAAATGGACAAAGGACTTAAATAGACATTTCTCCAAAGAAGATATACCAAAGACTAACAGATACATGAACAGATGCTCAACATCAATAGTCATTAGGAAATGCAAATCTAAACCACAATGACATATCACTTCACACCTGATAAAATGGCCATCACCAAACAAAAAACCAAGGAATAACAAATGCTGGCATGGTTGTGGAGAAAAGGGAACCTTTGTGCACTGTTAGTAGGATTGCAAATTGATACAGCCACTATGGGAAACAGTATAGAGGATCCTCAAAAAATTAAAAATAGAACCACCACATGATCCAGCAATTCCACTTCTTGGAATTGGTATCCAAAGGAAAACAGTAACTTGAAAAGATTTTTGCACCCCCATGTTCAGATCAACGTTATTTACAATTGCCAAGACATGAAAACAACTAAAGTGTTCACCAGTGGATGAATGGATAAGGAAGTTGTGATATATAGTGGAATATTATTCAGCCATAAAAAGAGGAAATCATGCCATTTGTGACTGCACGGGTGGACCTTGAAGGCATAAGTAAAATAAAGAGAATCTTAAAAAAATAAAGACCAGAGGCAGAGGTTGAGGAGAGAGGCAATTAGAAGTGATCAAAATTTGCAAGCTCCCAGTTTTAAGATAAATAAGCATGAGGGATGTAATGTGCAATATGACTATAGCTAGTACCACTGTATGATATACAAGAAAGTTGTTGAAAGTAAATCCTAAGAGATCTCATCATCAGGAGAAAAAAAACCTTTTGTCTTTATTTTTATCTTTATCTGTATGAGAAGATGAATGTTAGCTGAACCTATTGTGATAATCATTTATATATTATATATATAAATCAAACCTTCATGCTATATACCTTAAACTTATAGAGCAATATATGCCAAATATTTCAATAAAACTTTTTTTGAGTTCTCGTTACAAGAAAAGAATGGTAACTATGTGTGTTAATGGATGTTAACTAGACTTGCTATGTGGTTTGTTTGCTGTTACCATAAACCGCAAACCATGAGATGGATACCCATCCAAAATGTGATTCGGATTTCAAGACTCCTGATGCCACACATGCACTGGATGTACAAAAGTTTACTACACGCATAATGAAGCGTTCTAGGAAGAGCAGGGCAAGCTTCTCAAATATGTCCAAAATGGCTTGAGACAGGGGTAGAGCACAGAGGAGAGACTAGATTTTCAGGTTTTATGGTAGCTAGGGCATGGAGCTAGGAGTGAAAATTCCTACGGGGCTTATGTGGTTGAATTTCTCACCAGCACCAAATAAAAGGAGAACCCAGACTTCTTTAACCTCTAGCCTAGATGTTGGGCAAGAGGGAATGGGAGAGGGGCGGGGCTTGAAAGTTGTCCATAGTCAAGCATCAGACATGGAGTCAGAGCCTTTATTACATTTAGTTTTTATACATTTGTAAACTTTGAAAATGATTATAGTGGACACTTGCCTTTCTGACATTTATTTCATTCTTCCTACATTATACAACACATACCTGAAAAGTTTGGGTG